GCAGCGGGGGGGATTGGCGGCGGCAGGCTATGGACGAGGCGGAGGCGGCAGAAATCCCCGTGGAGGCCCGCGAGCGGAATCGATGCATTTTTCTCCTATCAGGCACCTGGAGCTAAAAGCGCAGAGGTGGCGCCGACGTGGCTTTTATAGCCGGCTGGGCGGAGGGGGGGTGGGGCCTGAAGAGGACCAATGGCCGAGCGCGGGCGTCAGCGCTGACTCATACGCACGGGGCGCTGACCGTGCTACCGCGTGGCCTGCTGGGAGCTGTAGTCGACACCGCCCTCGGGTGACCGCAGAGTCGCGGCACTGCATGCTGGGAGTTGTAGTGCGGGGCTCTACAACTCCGGAGTGCACGCCGGGAAGAGAGGGTTCAGTTTTCCGCAGTCATTGGTAGATGCCGGGGCTTACGTCACCCCCCCCGCCTCCCTTATGCCCCTCCCCTCGTCCTCGTCTGACCCGGGGAGGGGCGGACCGCCTGGTCTTCGCTGCAGCTGCAGGCTCAGACACCGAGGGCGTTGCCCAGCAACCGGGGAGAGGGGGGTTGGCCGCGCGCTCTTCGCTCCCGACTGACGTCACGTCCAGCGGGGCAAGGGGCGTGTGAGAAGCGGAAGGCTGTGGCCGCACATTGGGCCGGGAAATGTGAGGAGACGGCCCGTGGCACCATAGCTCGGCGAGGGGCAGGGGCTTCCTTGGGGGCGGCCTTTAAGGGCCCGGCTGAAGACTTGGGGTAGAGGTAGATAAGCTTTTGAATAGCTCTGTCCCAGGTACCTGCTTCTCCAATGCAAAAGATAGGCCCTGAGAATCAGAAAATGAAGGTTGGAAGGGCCCGCAGGAGCTCATCTAGTCCAACCCCTGCTCAAAGCAGGACTGGCCCTACCTAGATCATCCCAGCTAGCCAGGTCTTAAAACCTCTAAAGAACGGTGCTTTTAAGCTCTCAGGGTAGCCTGTTCCACTGCTTTCCTACCCTCCTAGTGAGAGTTTTTCCTAATATCTCAACTTCCCTTGCTGCAACTTGAGACCATTGCTCCTTGTCCTTGTTTCTGAACCAAAACGCTTGCCCCTTGCAGAATTTCTGGACCACCTCTGTGTTACACCCAGGGTGACTAGGAGCTTTTATTTTATCTAGAGAAGTACAAGAGAAGCAACTATACACTGATTTATTGGGATATTATCAACGAGGCAACTTTACCAAGAGCAGCTAAATACAGCAAAGAAAATATAGACATGTTCACTACCGGGTGGTGAGGTCTGAGGGCCCTCAGAATCTGTCTTCAGGGCTTGAGGCAAGTTCCAGACTCGCACCTCTCCCTTTTATATGGTTCAGGTTCAGTTTTCTGTATTCCCACCCATTTCTCTAAAATAAGGATTTCTTGGCCAATTCAGTAGGGAGCAGGAAAATTGAACCATATCCTGTGACCATTGTTCGTTCTTAGGTCCCTGCTACACATGCAGGTAAAGGCATGATGGGATCTAGGGTGCAATCCACACAATCGCCCCTCCTGCCATGCCATGTGTGTATGACAGGAGGAGTGACTGTGCCACATTAGATCCCACCACACCTATTGCCAGTGCAGGGGGAGTGGGATTGCATGGCTGGGAGCCACCTCAGTTGAGAGGCTCCATGCACCTACACCTGAGGGATCACACAGCAGCCGTGATCACCCAGGCTTGGGCTTTGTGAAATCCCAGGAATGTGGATCATGGTCCTTATTTCATGCACCCCTATGCAAATTAAAGCTCAGTAGCAACCAGCTATAAAAGTTAGTACAAATTTTTTTAGGTCTAACTTTATAACTGGTTGGAGCATGATATGATAGGTACTTTGCATGTGTAGATGATCTTAAGGTAATTGTGCAGTTAACCAGGTAATTGAGCAATACCTGTAAGGTGTAGAGGAGCCCTAAGTTCACCTTACTAGCGTTGGGTGTGATCCGTGCGCTTTGCATCTCAACTGCCTTGAAACTGTCCCTCACAATCTGTTTCTCTCACAAGATAATCATTTTGAATGCAGACTGACCTGCTTCTGAAATCAGAATATCTGGAAGAAGGAATACAGTGACACAACAAGCACAGCAAGGAGTGAGGAGTGTTCATGGCTCCCCAGCAACAGCTACAAGGTCATTCTTGCACTACCACAAGGTAACTTTGAACATTATTTGTGTTCCTTTAAATAAATAAGTAAATGTTAGTTTTCCACTCCTGCATTTCCAAGTATTAACACTGAAACAACTATAAAGCCTTATGGAAAAGAATGACAAAAGTATTTGGGGCTTATCTAGTTGCTCATTTTTATTAAATAAATACATTTCAGTTTAACTGTTTTTTTCCCACTTTTTGATCATTAATATGTTTTCTGTTGGAACTGTGGTTCTTTGGAGGGTTGTCTGCATATTTACCTGTGTGGCATCTGCTGTTAGGAAACTTTGTAAGCCTGCACATGAATGCAGATCCTTGCAGATTGGGAACCAAAGTTGTATTAAAAGCACCGTGCAACTTCACTTCCATTCATTTACAGTCCTATTGTTGCACAAACGGCTAGTTTCGTGCCCCTGGAGGCTTGTCCAATCCACCCCTAGGGGAGAGTCACACACACACAGGCTAGGTCCAATTTCAAATTTATTGTTTGCAAACAGATCAACTAGGGAGTTAATTTACTCAAATCAGAGTTGACCCCAAACAGAGTCTGGGGTTCCTTTTTATAGCTAACATAAACAAAAGATTCTAACGTGTCGCGTAATTATTGGCAGCCCAAGTATTACGTCTTACAACATATGTCTAGCAGTTATATGTTCTATGACGGTTTACATACATGTCTCATTTACATCTTAAATCTCCTCCTTGGGGCTGTCCTTAAGTCCATCTCGGTCATTCTTTGGTCAGGGTCTGAGTTCTTCACATCAGCATCTTTCCCTGTCCCTCTTCTCTTATCTCTCGTAAGGAGTTATTTATTGCATCTGTTCCTGGCTATGTCTGCAGAAGTCTAGTGCTACTCGTAAATCTATCATTGGCCTACATGCCTTAGCAGAAGCAAGTGTGATAATATGCAGAAGCAATTATGTAGTGAAGCTAAACAGTTCTCAGCTATGAAGCCTTTGTGTAGGGAGATGAGACATTTTTACCACACAGCTGCTACACAAACGTTATTGCAAAATCATAATGACTAGGTTATAACATATTTTTACCACACTATGAGACCAGAACAACATAGAGGAAGTTTGGGAAGTGTCACAACCCAACGTTGTGGATTTTTTAATTGTGTGTGCTTCGGCACCGCTAAATTATGTTCCCGCCGAATTGGAGCTCTTTTGCACGACGGAGTGTTCTGTTGTTATGGAGAACCCGCGTGCAGAAAAGTGTGGCTTGCTAGCCGTACAAAAGGCTTAGGTGGTTTCCGCCCAAGTTGGAGAGAGAGACGGATCTCTAAGTGCTGTGGGTCCTTTCGAACCCAGCACGTCTTTCTTAAGAAGGCGATAGAGGCTCCAATTGCCGAAACCCCAGAGCCTAGCAAACTCCGGGGCACCACTCACCGACGGCCTCTAGCCTCTCCCCGTCACCGATCGCAGCCCAGACGAATCCCTACCCTAGAACCCAGTTATCGACACCACGGAGTCTTAACCGCTCCGGGGATCCTGGGAACAGAACCCAGTTATTGACACCACGGAGTCTGAACCACTCCGAGGATCCTGGGAACCGAGTTTTAGAGTCCTCCAACGAGGATTGAAGCGGAGCTGTACCTGGGAAACTGTCCAGCCTGCACTGCGACCATCTCCGGTGTAAGTAAATAATCTTTTCAATCAACCATTACGCCTCCGTGACTGATTCTAGCTCGAGCGTACTACTCCAGCCCGCGACTTTTCTCCGGCCCTGCGTGCTCGGGCTGCCGGCCACAGCCCGCGTGCACACAGACGGGCCCGGCTCGTGCCCGGCGAGGACGGGACTGGGAGCCGGCCCACACAGGAAGTAGTATAAGTATGCGGAAGCAAAAGTATAAAAGTGTTTCAGTCATTATGGTGTGGAAGTTCAGAGAGTGGTACAACTTCCTTAGAATGAGTTCTTGTTAAAGAAGTGTAGCATCGTGAGGATTAGGTCCATATTAGGTCATAAAAGTAGTACTGGTTAAATGTGTGACGGAACGCTGGGTATCAATTCTGCAGATTTCTATGAGGGAAATGATCCAGCAGCACCTCTCTAGTGCCATTTTAGCCTGGCCAGACTGTGCTCTGAAATCCTTCTCTTATCCTTAGTCAAATAAGACAATAATGATAAGCAATGTGTTTTTCAGTATATAGGATAGAATTAATGATAAGCAATGTGGTTTTCAGTATATGTGTTTTAGAAAGAATGCTACCAGATTGGCACCATGATTCAGATGGAATTTGGACTCCACTTTTGGCGTATACTTGTGAAGAGAACAGGTGTCCATTGGGTAGGATGAAAAGATCAGCTGTTAAAGCCATCAACTTTCTTGCTCTTCTTGCATACCTAATTTCAATTAAAAATGGTGGTCAAAACCATTATATCCTCTGAGCATTTGAATCACTTTTTAACAGTGGCAAGAACAAAACACAAAGGGCATGGACATGCCTGCAGGCTCGTGCACTTGCAGCAGCTCAAATAGGAGTGGCATAAATTTGTGCCAGAGTTTTTTGCTTTAGCGCATGTGCCTGAGCATGCACTTTGGTGTGGAACGAGTTGTGCCACTTGGGGCAAACTGACCCTGCCCAGCTCCTCCTGTATCTTCAACCAGGGGGAGCTAGAGGCTGTGGGGTGCTGGCCTCAGCAATATAAAAACCTGCTCTGGCGAGCAGCTCAGGGCTACTTGCCCCCAGGAGCTTCTGAGGCCCAGCCATTTGGTATCTGGGGACACTACCCCTTGTGCCAGCTGCACTGCTGAAGCAGCCCTAACCTGGAGTGGCCCCTGTAACTTCTACCCACTGCAGAAGTTTGGCACTGGGGGCTGCTGACTGTGACCTGCTGCCACCTGCAACAGCATCCGTTCTCTTAGACCTGCAGCCCCATGGCTGCGCACCTGCCAGACCCAGATGGGGTGTCCCTGCTCCGCCATCTGGGCAGCTATCACCAAGAAGATGTGCTCCTTGCAGTGGCCCACTTTGAACTGTCAAAGCATGTCCTTTTGGGCCCAAATGGCCAAGAGGTCAGCCATCTCATCTGCCTTCCAGCTGGGTCCCAGTGCTGGCCCTGGACAGGGTACTCTTCCCGGGTCACGCCACTTGTCTCACCAGCAGAGATCCTGGTGTTCCCTGTTTAAACATTGCAAAATCGTTGATAAGAAAGCCAAATTCTCTCATTAAAATACCCAAAGTAGTGTTCTTTTGCTATTAAAATGAAATGCCACTATATAGAGAGAGATCAATTGAGCAATGTTTTATTGATATATTTACATGTTTAAAGCAAATTGGAAGCTTACCAGTGCCTCTATCATCATAATAAAATGGATTTTAAATATCTATACACCTTGGCATTTACTTTTTGGGTTTTTTTGTCATAGAAAAATCAGAGCTGGTCTTACCCCTTTCGCTCACCAGGACATGCAGCGTTGAGCAGCACTGATAGGCCGGTGCCCTGCCCCTACCCTTGCCCCTCACAATCAACTCACAGCCCTCCCACCCCCAGTCCCTTCACTCCCGACATGTAGCCCCTGCCTGCCCCCACTAGTTCTCTCTCAGCCACAGCTCTGTCCCAGCACCAGGACATGAGTTCAGTTGCAGCTGTCCTACCATCTGTTTTGTGGCTCTGAGCAGTGCCAGCCCTTGCTTTTCTGCTCCCTGACCCATGCTGTTTCTGGGAAGCCCTCAACTGGGAATCAGGGACTGAGCTGGTCCCTTTCCTCCCAGGCTGGCCTGCACAGGCTGCTCTAGGGGGCAGGGGGGCTCTAAGCCTGGCTCTGGCGGTCTCTCCTACCCAGAGCGTTCCCCCACCCCTGACCCCCATATCTCTCTGACACATGCCTGCTGCCACCTCCACCTCTCCCCCCAGCCTATCACACCCCTCCAAGTGGCTCCTGGGACCCAGAGCCCCCTCAAGCTGGGGCTGCATGTCCCAGCATTGGTGTGGGCGTGAGAAAGGGATGCAGTGTGGCAGTTGCCCCTGCAGCTGCAGCTCCTGCCAGCAGGTCCTGTCCCATCCCATGTGGCTGGCTGAGCATGCAGAATGTGAGATTTGTGGGGTGGGTGTAGGATTACTGGGGGCAAGGTTTAGGGTGGTATGGTGCCTGTGCAGGGGGTTGGGGTTTGTGACTGGGTATGTGGGTGAGGAGTTTGTGGGGGTGGTTTGGGGGATGTGGGATTTGTGGGTGGATTGTGGGGAGTTTTGTGGGTGTGGGGAGATGGTGGGTGTGGGGGAGCTGCTCAGGAGGGGTGGGTCCCCTGCTGCCCCAAGGGGCTCAGCCCCCCACAACTCACTGACAGCCCCCACTACATGGCACACATGCCCCCCATAGGGCACAACCCTCCCTCACAGGTTGCACAGCCCCCCCGCAGCAGCAGCGGCGGCCATTGGGCTGTTCAGGACCCTCCTGGCTGGCACACACCCCCGCTTCCTCTCCCCACTGTGATGCGGGGCGGCACAGCAGCACAGCGCAGCCCTGGCCACCTGGCACCGCCTGCGCCACATCACACGGGGCCATGTGCCTTTGGGCAGGACTGGGCCACTTGGGTTGTCACCCAGAGGTCGGCACCACTTGCAGGGACCATGTGTGGCACCAGTCTGGGTTCTGCTTCCATGGAACCAGCCCAGCCTGATGGCATGCAGGGCCCATGCAAGCAGGACCCGACCCAGTGTGACGTGACATGCAGTCCCTGCAAGCAATGCCAGCCCCCAGGTAACCGCCCAAGCGGCCCGGTCCTGCCCAAAAGCACATGGCCCCGCACTGGGCTGGGCCTGCGCAATGTGTCACAGGCAGCTCTGGGTGCCAGGTGGCCAGAGCTGCACTGTGCTGCCTCGTGTCATGGCAGGGAGCTGTGCCAGGAGGGTCCTGAGCACCCTGTTGGCGGTTGCTGCTGAGGGGGGCTGTGGGTCATGAGGGGGGGCAGGCAGGGGACCTACCCCTCCTGAGCAGCCCCCCCCCACACACACAGAGTCTCCTGCATCCACACAGGCACCTGCTCCAGTCCCGCCCA